TATTCTATCGAGAATGAAGACCGTCCGGGACGCTCAATGGCGTTGGATTTGGACGTGCTGCGGAGCCAGGTGGAAGCCGTAGCAAACTACTCGTGAACTGGCAGTCACCCTTGGGGAGTCAGTCCACAGTTATTCGTGGATTAAAGTCAATTGGCAAGGTGCGAAAGCTCGGTCCATGGGTGCCTCATGCTTTGAAGCAGTATGACATGGACTGCTGCGCCGACATGGCACTTTCCCACTCTCGCTCAAGCGCAGGAAACGGTCAGGTGTACTCCTTAGTATGTGTTCGGAAGAGCTTTGTATACTCTATCAAATGACGGCTCGCGCGTCCATTTTCGTCACCTCTTTCCCCAGTTATGATCTCTAGAAGTCATCACTATCACATTGTTCGAGGACTTATGGCTCAACCTAATAGTTACGAAGCGCTTCCTTACGCAGTTACTTACAGGGAATCAGTTTACAGACGGAAACTTTAAGCACAAAGGTATGTTACTGAGGCCCAGAGAGTTGAATTCTAGCGTGTGTCGCAAAGAAACCGAGAAAAAAAAACAAACTGGAAGTAGCATGTGTGAACAATGAGAATTAAGACAGAATAGACAATGCTAATTGACAAATAGTCGCCAGCGTCATTAGAAAAGCTAATATCGGCTAAAGCGACGAAGGCGACCAATCACCAGTCAATTCATAACATGTCGAGAGCGAAAACTTCTACCCTTTCTTAACGTCTCCCTTCTTAAGGCGGTCATGTAGAGGGAATTGGTTGAACAGTTTAAAAAAATTGAAATAACTACAACAATATGACAACGTACCCTCTGAGTTGGTCACTCAGGAACGGAAGAAGTTGACTAGAAATTATATTTGTGACACTTTCCTCATTTTCCATATAATAACCTATATTCTTTCCTTCAAATAAGAATTTTTCAGCACGCAGTATTCCACATTCTTTTCAATGGTTCAGCTAACGATGATTACGAGAATTTTATTAAGTTAGAGGATGAAAGCGATTATGTAAAGATTTCATTACACTGACTGGCATGACAATTTCAAGGAGTGACGGAACTTACGTGCGTCCGAGGATGTGCGTGGCGAAGTTCGTGGCGATTTGAACGACTTTAGTGCTTATTATTGAGGCCCAAATTTGAAGTAGGTAGATTAGTAAGATCAACTGATCTTGATAATCTTCTTTACTTTAAATTTTGGCCCCAATGAAGGGCGCTAAAGTCGCCACGAACTTCGCCGCGCAGTTTGCCGCGCGCATCCTCGGACGCACGTATGTACCCACACCCCAATTTCAAGTCGTGAAGCCGTTCGTGTAGTTGCCGAAACATAAATTACATTAAGTGCTACCTGCGCGTACCAGCAATAAGAAATACTATTTTCAAGCTGAGAGGATTGTTTATGAGAAGAAAATGAGATCGGCAATGTTCAAACCTGGTTCACGAAGTTGTGGCATTCGCAGTAAAGGACCCAATGGACCTATTGGAACGAATATATGTTGGAGCTATCTAAATAAAGAAAACTGAAATTGTTAACTACCTTGTATGGAATCGTTTCCAAACGATTACTTGAGCAAGACAGTACCGATTTCTGCTAACAAGAAGGAAAATCCAGTTCTTATGTGAGCTAATGATGAGAAATGGAACCTACAAAAACTGCCAGGTTTCACCATTGTATTTCGTCACGCGGTTGAAATCTGGACACGTTCTACTACAAGCAATATCATACGTGCACCATTTTCTACCAGCTGTACCACAACAGTCATTAGCTAGCTACCCCACATAAATGGTGCGAACACTCGTGGCGATGATGAGATGTTCAAGAACAGAACGGAAGGATAAGTAAGGAAGGGCAAGGTCTACCTCCCTAATGTCCTCAGGAGAGAACAATGGTCTTTCTAACAAATGGTAATCGACAATTCAAGCAGCTAAAGATTGCTAGAGAATGCGTCGCGGACTGTTTACGTTAGAGCAATCTTGCTGTTACTTTGCTTGTAAAAAGTGTAGAAACTATATTACTCTGTTTAGTGTAGAAACTATATTACTCCTTACATGTTACGCGATATAGTGATGACCGTTAGACCACGACGGCTACTGACTGGATCCCTCGGGCATTAAACGAACTCCAGGACGGCCGCCAACGAGTTGGTCAGACTTCTTCACGAAACCTCTTAACAAAAGGGATGTTAGACCTCGTGTTCCTGAAGCGAGGACGATTCATTGGACCACTCTAGCTCGTGACGAGAACGAATGGAGAAGTCACTGGCGCTCGCTGGAGGGAGTCGACGATGGCCCTGGCGGGGGCCCTAGAGTCGAATAACGGTAGGGTTTGTAACGGGGCGTAGTTTGTTAGCACAGCAAATGAGGTAAAAGCGAAATAGCGTCTATGTGTAACACCTGATTATTCCCTTTTTCGATTGGTAGTATTTTGGCGTGAGCGCACCACACGTCCTCGTTCGTCGCTTCGATCGCCCTCCTTGACCGAATGCGAATCGAACGATCGTGGTAGCCCCTTATCAGTTGCCATATTAACTGATTAGGAGGTGTTAGCTGAGTTTTGAAGCAGTCTAAATTGTTTCGAGTAGTCTTTATTTCGCCGTGCTCGTAACTGGTAGTAATCATGCTTTCAGGGAAATTTGCCGTGGTAACAGGTTTGTATTTGTCTGGACATTCTTTTTTATTAGTTTTTTGGCTCTCTCAATAATCGGGCTCAGCCGTGCTTTAACGATCCGTTCATCCTAAGTGTCGATGCTGCTGTTCTTCTAGGTGGGGCATCAGGAATTGGACGTGCCATCTGCCATCGTTTGGCTCAGCATGGAGCAAAACTTTTGGTTGTAGACTTAAACAAGGATGCCGCTCGGGAAACAGTGAAGAAGATTGGTATGATCCTTCAGAAGCTTGTTTGTTCCAAGCCATGTTGTTTTCATGAAGGACATATCAGCGAGCGTTCTTACAACGTGCTTAATTTTGAAATTACTTCGATTGTTTTTAAAGTTCCAATCTCGCAGAGAAATTGACTGGTATTAATTGACTTAGGCCTGGAGGATGGGATCTTTGTTCAGAATATTGTGTAGAATTCTAAGTTCTGTTACCTTGTAACAAATTTACGTTTTAAAAAGTTCGTTTTCCTCGTTCTCGTAGTTAGAGTAGATTTTTAGGCCCTTCAACAATTCACACATTTTTATCCTGTGATGTAAGCAAGGTGCGGTTCTCTCGATTTTGCAACTTTTTGTCATTTTTTTGTAGCAGGCTGCTCCTGTCGCTCTACGTCTGTTTTGCAATGTGTTTTCTAGACAGAAGAAGTTGCGCGGCTTCATGAATTCGTTCTAAAAGAGGTTGCAAAGTCACCGGATATTGTAGTCAACTGTGCTGGAATAACTAGAGTGGGTGACTTCTTAACACCACTAACTATTCTTTATATCATGTTTGAAATAAGCTTTAATGATGTTGGTTGAAGATGCGTGCCTAGTTATCTAATCTCTACACCGAATCGGTATCGTGCAATAGTATCGTGCAATATTCGTTCTTATTTAGGATTCGACATTGTTAAAGATGTCCGAGAAGGATTTTGACGAAGTTGTTGCGGTCAACTTGAAAGGGGTTTATTTGGTTAGCTTTGTTCATTGTATTTTTGTATCCCCACGGTAGCACTCATGATGCATTACAGTAATTATCTTCTCACACGAACTATCTCTACAAGCAGCTATTAAAAGCAGTTCATCATCTTAGGTCACTCAGGCCTTTGCTAAGTCTGCTGTGTCGATGAAAACTCCGCTCTCCGTCATAAATGTGTCTTCGATAGTTGGCAAGGTTTGTGGTGTATAATAGTCTTTGCTTACTCAGTTCCTCACATCGTAATTGTCCACCTCGGTCCTCCTTGGATTACCACGGAACTGAATAACAATAAGCCTATTCCTCGTCCCCATCAAAATCCTTCAGGTTGACAGATTTGACCGTGGTGACGTTCTTGCATGACACAGTTGTTGCAACCGGTAGTTAAGCTAAGTTCCGATCGCATTATCGGTCTAGTAATGAGTGATTGAACGAGCGAGCACCGATACCGTCTCCATTCGTTACTTTTTCTTTTCTATTTCTGAAGGGTACCTTGACATACCAAAGATTTAAGGGCAGTTCAGTGCCTTATATTAGATGAGCTATGATGCTGTTTATAACAGCGTATTATGTTTTTGGTATTCTTGTGGTAAATATTTTCTTTATTAGTAACAACAGGAATGGAGTGCACGGGGTGAACTCTCTCTGTTCACAATATATGTAAAGTCGACCCGCATAAATTTCCCTGCCTTTCAGAGCTTTATGGGCGCCTCGATGTAAATTGGGAGAGGAAGAAATAAGAAGTTTTGCAGTTTAAAGGGCGCATTTACAATGTTACGAAAACTAATGCTGCTGATATTTTCAGGTCGGGAACTTTGGCCAGTGTAACTACGCCGCGACTAAAGCTGGTGTAGTAGCCTTCGGCAAAACAGTAGGCAAGGAATTAGCAAGGAAAGGCGTGAGAGTTAACACGATAATGCCTGGTTTCATTCGGACTCCTATGACCGAAGCAATGCCAAAGAAGGTTTTGAGTTCTTCTATTTTGAAATATGGTATATAGTACTTTTTCTTAGGAGACATAATAATCATTCTCGAATTCCATTCATTGCGTTGGTGCTACTGTTGCGAAGCGCTCTACCAACAATGTTATGGTTCATCTTTATCAGCTATCGATGACATTCTCTTAATTGATTGATATCGAAAATCAACGATCATCACAGAAGACTTACCACAATCGCTATCATTTTCACACTGAAATAATTCCTTGCCTCCGGCTGGAATATGTTCACCACATAGGCATTTCTTTGAGCTTTTGTCCGCAAATGTGTTACTCTCATTGAGTTTCCGCTTTTAAAGAGTTTGCCTAGGTTCTGTCCACTATCTGTGAAGGGATACCGATGGGACGTATGGGAGAACCAGAGGAAATTGCCGATGTCACGTTGTTCCTCGCATCTGATATGTCAAAATATATGACAGGAGCAACATTAGAAGTAACTGGTGGCTTGTTCATGTAGTCTTAACAGACTAGGTGCATTAGGAACTGTTTTCATTTTCATTTTTTCACTAGTGTTTCTATTTTGAATGGGCAATTAAACATTTCGTAGATGCAAATCGCTAACGATGAGAAAATGTTAAACTCAGATTTGTTTTTGTTTGACGTATGTGCAGTTACCATTAACCTAGGATAGTCGTTCCTGATCATTACGGCCGGTATTGACATGTTGCTAGTTTAAGGAAAGGTAATTTAGAAATATGAGCCTTTATTACAACTGTTCTCTGAGTTCAAAAGGGATTAATGGCGTAATTGATGAGACTGCCACGATCGGGTCAAATTGTTGTGGAACGCTCGACGCAACTAGGTTTTGATACCATTTTTCTCAATGTTATATGTTCTCATAATCGATAAAATTATATCAGTCGAATCGCCTGGCTGGCGCGGTGCGCTCCTTCTTATGTTGAAGTTGACCATCCTCCCACATTCTCCCAAGTCTAAAAGCTCGGGTCTAAGAGAACAGGAGGTATTGATTTCCAGCGAAATACACAGACACACTGACGCACTTCGTGCGCGTCCTGCCCGCCATGTGCGAAGTCCTGCTCAAGTCCCGTGTGTTCATGTAACATAGTTCATTCCCCATTTATCCTAACTTATCATTATTATTATTTATCATTATTATTATTAAGTCGCATGCATATTTTTCCTCAGATTACGCTCATTTTACACACCTCTGTTCCTCTTTCGTCCTCCGTGGACGGATTTCGGTTCAGTCACTTTTCTACCTCCTACCATTAGTGTTTCAAAGCTGGCCTTCGCGCTAGAGCATTTTATTTTACAGATCAATTCCAGATTTTCAGCGAATTTAGACCACATATCTGGAGCTTCGAACTTCCCTCGAGACCTTGATGGCCTTGACGTCTCTTTGTTCGAAACGTCGACGATTTGAGGCGGTTCTACTATAACAACTTTACACCAGAGCTGTACAAGAGATATATTGTAATGATAGCAGTGGGAACGCAGATGGATTTCTTGCAGTGCTCAGTGGAGTGCCGTATCATTTAAAAAAAAGTCCATCTGGATATTTTGCAGTATGAAAGCATTGTAAGAACAAAATCTCTCGTTTCGGATTTCATATGAATCAGATCCATCGGGTTTGTGTTTATACGAAGGTTTCACGAATTCTCAATTCCACTTCGGGCACTTCCGGTCGGCCATCGATACTGCCATGGAATTGATGTGGAAACAAGTTATGCTGTTTGGAAAGGAAGACTTGCTGTTCCCTCCTATCATGATGATTTTAGCCAGTTTCTCTTCCCATTGAATTTTCCAGTCTTCTTCGTCTTCCTGTTATCCTTCTTTCTGGTCTTCTTCTTCCTGTTTTTCCTCTTCCTGTTCTTCTTTCTGTTCCTTTTCCTCTTCTTCCTACAAGCAGCAGTTCTGCGCAATCGCAGGGACCGCTAATGTTGTTAGCGCTCGCCACTTTCGTCGGTGCGGCATCTTCTTCTGTTGCCTCGACTTCGGAGAGACCTTCTCGACCACGTCCCTCCACCTTCTTTTGAAGCTCCTCGTGGCTGCTTTCTTTGAGCTCTGAATTCTCTTCCTTTTCTGATCGGATGATCTTATGCGCATAGCAACAAAGCGGTTGCTCTCTCATTTACAGCTTGATCGGAGCATACCGCATGACTGTCCTGACTTTCCCGTTCCTAACCCGATCGTGTCTAACCACAGGTCCCTCTCAAAATCCTCATTTCTGCGTATTGAGGTGGCTTTATATGATTAGTGCCTGCTGGCCATCATGGATATCGCCACTGCCTATCAACCTTCCNGGCGATCGCAGACGCCACTGGAGTCCCTCCACTTCAAGCAGCCTTCACTCATGCTTTCAACCCTGATCTTGGCCCAGGTCGCTTCCAAAGCATCAGAAGTCTAGCACTCTTTCAACGATGTCCTCCTAAGAGTCCACCATTGGTTTTGTGCAGTCCTACAAGCTGAGGGACATGGTCTACTTTACGTTTAGCTGGAGTCCATTTCTCTGACAGCTCGCCCTACCGTTCCTGCTACTTCTCCTAGAGTTCTTCCCTGCTTTCCACTATCAGAGCTATGTCATGATCGTAGAAGATGGTCTTCATTGATTCATCGATGGGCCCTTCTTTGATGGCATCCAGTGTCATTAGGAGAGGAACTGATTCAGAACTGTACCTTGATGGACCGTATCGAGAGTCCACAGTTGTTGTGATACTTTGAGCTGTGCGTATGGTTGTTTTGGATCCATGGCATATGTCCGTGCCAAAGAGATCAGGTGCTCGAGAGTGCTTCGTTCTTCAAGAGCTTTCCAGGCAACTGGTCGTGGCAGGCGGTCAAACGTTTTCACCAGATCGGCTGCTTCTCTCCGCGAATGGGATACTTCTATCAATAGTTATGTTCAAAAACTAGGTAACCCACCTAATCCCGCTCTTTCCGGCCGATGACCATGTCATGATCGGTATTCTATCAGAAACTACCGCCTTCCCAACTTCATCTATATTTTCCCTTCCTGCGCTTGAACTTGGCTGTCTTCCTCAGAATAGCAGCAGCGTTGTCGCTTACAGTCTTCACTGCCCCATTTTGAGTTGCCCAATACTGGGCCTTTGCCATATGGTAGACAAACGTTTCTCTTCTACTATAGAGCTTCTCGAACAAGGCTTTCACTTTCGCATTTCTTGCCTTCGCTAGTGTAGCCTTGGCATGCCTCTTGCAAATTCCGTAGGCAGTTAGGTTTTGTGGAACTCGCGTCTTTTACCGGCATTTGGACGCATCCTTTTCTGCTTTACGAGTATTTGGATCTCGCTGTTCCAGAACAACTCTGCCTTGTCTTCGAATTTCCGAATCCTAAATTCACCTGTCCTAGCTTTCTCTTTCACTCTGTGAGACGACTTCAACAGTGCTTCTCCATCCTTGTTGGATCGGCCTTCGAGAATCTGGAAAAGTAGCTCTCAGTATCCTTCGTTTGAGCCCTTTCTTCCCAACTTGGTGCAGCTTCCACCATCGGATGCTTAGTTTTGAGCCTTGCTCTTTTTCGGAATTCTATGGCCACATCTGCTAGGAGGGGGTTGGCTCCACAGCAATGGCTAGCAGAAGCCTATGCCTTGATGCCCTTTATAGTTTTAAAAGACGATCTTTTCACGAGCAAGAGGTCGTTCCACGCCTGTATTCCTCCGCTGGAGCAGGTTACCTTCTGCGTTTTCTTTTTTTTAAGAATTTTTACAGGTTGGCTGTCGCCAGGTCATCCTTTCCCCTTCTTCGATTCTGGCCCTAACTCCTATACCTCCACAAATCCTTTCTAGACCATACCTTTCACTACCAACATGGCCATTCAGATAACTCGCTATAGTGATACAGCCTCCATCTTGAACTGACCTTAGCTTTGTCAAGGTTCGAATGGGTTCCGTCTCTTTCTTGTTAGAACAAAAGGTTTGCGTTGCGTACACGGATAATATTGTGCAGTACCTTTCTTTCGTGTCTATGCTCAAAGCCATGATTCAATCGCTAATCGTGTTGACAGCCGGGTATCCTTGCGGGATTGCGTTCTACTATGGCCACACAATTTCGCTTGGTATGTTCTCCGTTATAGTAGAGCGTTACAACTTCCCCGACTCCCCTGGCCTTTGCCCCTTTCCAGCGATTCTCCTTAAGGCATAGGCCATGCTTTCCGCGACTTTACGCGGACGAATCGGATCTGTTTGAATGAGCAAACCTTTTCAAAACTTAAAAACCTCTGTATTATTCTCATGCGAGTTCTTGATGGCTTCTCTTTTCAAAGGGTTGCTGAGCTTGTCAGCTCAGGCAAAATTCTTATTATTCTAAAAGTTATTCAAAAAGGCTAACGATCAGAAGTTCCGATCCCTCGACTAGAAGGAATTCTTTATTGGTGTGCTGAGAGAACCAGCAGTATCAACCGTCTTACAAAGAGGTCCCTCATTTTTGTGACGACATCAGAATATTGTACCAAATAGACGTGTGGCATTGCACCTTCTTGTACAATTTTATCCAACATTTTTGAGCACTTGCTTATAACTCTTATGTCTGTTATCATTACGGCGACATTCCCATCATTTCGTCTTTCACCCCAAGGCCTTAACCGATTGGCGACCGCGCCTTTTATATTGTCCTTACATTAACTTTTAAATTCTCTCATAACGTAGTTGGAAGTGAATGATTTCTGAACCACAGTGCCTCAAGATTTTCTAGAAGGCTTTGAGCTCAGGTGATACTTGAAAATATGGAGAAAATTGTAAGAACACTTGATAAATAATGTAAATACTACAGGAGTACGATATGGTGTGGCCCGCCGGCGGGCCCCGTGGTCGTCAGGGGGTTAACGCTCTATGTATGTCTAAATTCGGGCGAGTTATGATCAATTGAATAACAAAATGGTATTTATCGAATTCAGTTGATCGGTGTTGGGCTCACGAAATTTTCGTTAAAAATCATTCAGCGGCTTCCCTCTTGTAGTGTAAAGGTCACTTCTCATACCGCTGTTTTCGAACCAGCAAGGCTGTGTCATTTAGAACCTCTTCAGAAGTGAGAAGCGACTCAAAAGTGTACACGCTAATAACTTTCCCGGTATAGGCATTATTAGGAACGTAATTAAACTTTTTTCAAGAAAAAAATCGCACCAATAAAGCGCCTCGCCATTTTGAGTTTTCAGAGAAAGCTGTTCACTCGATACCGAATATCGGCCTAATAATTTTTGTTGAACAGTCTCATGGAATATGACTCTTCATATTTCAGTAATTTCCTGATAATATAACGCTTGAATTGAGCTCGTGATGTAGTAACTTGGATGTTTATAGCAAGGATTTATTGCTCGCTACCTTCTCTGAAAGTTAAGTTCCTTGCATACAGGCCAGTTTTGAGTTGTGCCAATGCTATCGTCGAAAACCATACCTTGGATCAAAACATGTAAATTGAAGGCATCAGAGAAACCAAACTAATATGAGTTTTGTACTAGATTATGGAAAGAGAAGGCTTGATATATTA